TGAGCTCAATCCCCGGTTCTGCCAAAAAAAAAAAGAAAAAAAGAAAAAGAAAAGAAAGAGAAAAAAATATGAGTTTATACTCCACAAAAAAAAATGAAAACAAAATGCTTCGTTTCGGTAAACTAAAATTTTATTATCAAACACTGATGATATTTAGGGAGCCATGCTGTCACATATAGAATGGGGTTGGGGAATAAACTTGTATACCTTCTGTGGAGAATAATTTAATAGTATCTGTAAGAAAGAGTAAATCACACACCCTTTGACCCAGCAGTGCTACTTCTAGCAACTTTTTCCTACAGATACTATTGTATCTATTTATGAAATGACACACACACTTTATCATGGCAACACTATTTGAATTACATATTTGCAAATATAAATAATCTAAACTCCCATCAAAGAGAATTGATTAAATATATGAGATATATAGATATGTATATATACACACATATATATAATTGCATGTCTATAAAATGAAATAGAACTATAAAAATGAATAACTATGTTCTTTTGGAAAGATCTCTAGAAAAAGAAAAAATATATAAATATATATATTCCCCACCCCCTGTATTTTAGTGAATGATCTACAGGGTGTTCAGAGTCTCAGTACTAGATCAGACTCCTAGTGATTCCCCTGTTTACAGACTCCCAAGTGCTGGGATTACAGGCATGGGCCACCACACCCAGTCTCAACTGCTGTCTCAGTGAGCTCCTAGGCAAGGCAGGCCTTGGGATCAAACCCCTGACCCTGCACCTGCTTGCAGGCACTTTAATCCACTGAGCTATTTGGCCAGCCCTTTAAAAATATATTTAAGAGACTAAAAAGATGAGAAAACACGGGAGTGTGCATAGTATATAATAGTATGCTGTCATTTGAACAAAAATATGGTAGAAACTTAAATACAGCACTGTGCAATCTCCAGAAACACACACAAGAAACTAATAAAATGACTATTTGGCAAAAGTGAGATAGGTGGTGAAATGAGTTGGGAGAACTAAAATGGGAAAGAGAATTTGCTCTGTATTCTTGTGCTTTTTAATTGAAGCACACAGATATATTGATTAGTCAAAACAGTAAGCACAATAAAAAATGTTAAGGACAAAAAGTGAGACCTTAATGGAACCCTAAAATTAACTTTTGTATCAACTGCATTAACAAAAGACATAAAATATTATTTGCTGACCATCTTCTATAAAATCAATAGGTTGTATAAGTTATTTATTGGAGACAAAGAGACACTGCATGAAGGAATATTCTGATTGTTGAAATGCTGACTGATTAAATACAGTTAAGATTCTTAGGCATTTAAATATAAACATGCATTTGATTATATATTCTTATTAAAGTTTAGCCTGACTTTGGTAATATACTATTGGCAATTTTAACCTCATTTAAGAATTAATGGGGGGTGGCGCGGGTAAATGGCTCAGTGGAATAAGCGCTTGCCTGACAAGTGCAGGGGCCTGTGTTCAATACCTAGTTCTGCCAAAAAAAAAAAAAAAAAAAAAGATTTAATGTGGGGTTTTAGATGTGTTAATTATCTGCAATGTTAGATCTCATTTCTTACAGAAACTTCCCAAGTATAAACCTGCTTATAAACTTCTAACTCCTAAACACCAAGACTGTTCCTGTCCCATCAGACCATCTGCCTAGGTCACCTAAATGCTCCACTGTCCACCTGATTTTATTTTACCCTACTAGGAGTTTAATGAAAGTTGTAAAATACTCTTTATCCTAAGCTCATGAGTTTAAACACACGAAATTTGCAACGTACTTTGAACATTGCTAAGTTTTTCTCAGAATGAGCAAAATTACCATATTGATATGAGTCATGGTTGTATAACTTATTTAAATCAATAAAATAAAGGCTGTATCAAGGCATAAGATCGCCATAAACTAGGCACTGCAAAATAGTAGCCTTTTAAAAAAGATTTTATCTGTAGTATGCTTTCCATATTTAAAAGTGAAGGATATTAAATAACTAATTGCCATCTGCTGGAAGTCATCAGTGAATGTTCCATAAAGGAAACAAATTTTGAGTTTCATATTAAAGGAAATGAAAGGCACTCAGAATTCTTAATTAGACTAGTTTTTACAATCAGTTCCATTTCAGCACACTAGAGTAAAATGAGTAATGTAATACTGCTACTGAATCTTTAAATTTTGATGACATGACAAAACATTCTATGTCTACAGATAAGTTCAATAAAGTTCTGAAAGCCTCTTTAAAAAAGCATATCAAAAACGTAGATGTCAGTCTGTCACTTAAAAAGAGCTGATGTTGAGGGGCTTTACAATGTTCACACAATTTAATAAAAGCACACCAGTTAACCCTGAAATAATGTACATTCCTACTTCTATAAACTCTAGTTATATTACCAAAATACTGAATAGATAGACTGACTGACTGACTGACTGACTGACTGACTGACTGACTGACTGACTGAACAGGATCTTTAAACTCTCCAGTGGTCAACATTTCTTTAAAACCACGAACTCTAGAACTCTGAAATCAGAATCATGCAGGTGCAGACTCCCAAAAACTGAATAAAATACTTTAAAAATCACTAAGTTGATTTAAATTAAACTCCACGTATTTTTGTGGTTGGCTTAACATTAGCAACCTATTCAATCCATGTGAAAAGACTATATAAAATGGTAACTCTCTGTTGGATATGTTCCTCTTCTCTTTATCACCCTATCACGCTACCTCACAAGAGAAGAGGAAAAGACTAAAATGAAAAGTTCCACTATGCTTAACTGGAAAAGGTGAGTCCTATCTGGGTCCAGATTGACAGTCATGCACTTACAACTATATCTCACTCCACTCATGAGGGACAGTCTACAAATAAAACGAAACTGAAACATTTTTATCAAATATATTAAATACACTATATGTCCTCTATACTATTTTTCTTAACATGTGAACAAAAATATATAGCCTAGTAACAAAAAAGAATAAAGAGGCTGATTCGAACTAGAAATGGCTTACTATACTTAAAGCAGAGGATTCCTGTTAGTACTTTAATGTAATGTAATTGTAGTAATTATCTGTTTATAAGACACTTTAAAGAGAATACTACCGTCAAAAGGCAACAATGTTTTCATGCAGTTAACATATTATTAAAACAAAACCAAAAAGGTCAAGATAAAAATATTATGCATGTGGCTAACTAGTGAGATTAAATGAGTGTCAAAACCCTTTTATTCGGTGGGTTCCAGCAGCTCTGGCGGCGGGAGGAACGGCAGCGGTCGAGCTGTGAATCTCCGTAAGGCTCCTGCGCGCCTCGACCCGCAGCCTCCGCATGTGCCCCGCACGCCACCAGATGCCCAAGAGGAAGGTTAGCCCCGCCAAAGGGGCGGCGAAAGAGGAGCTCAATAGGAGATCGGCAAGATGGTCAGCTAAACCTGTTCCAGCTAAAGTGGAAACGAAGCCAAAAAAGGCAGCAGGAAAGGATAAATCTTCGGACAAAAAAGTGCAAGCAAAAGGGAAAAAAGGGGAGCCAAGGGAAAACAGGCTGAAGTGGCTAATCAAGAAACCAAGGAAGATTGACCTGCGGAAAATGGAGAAACTAAAAATGAGGAGAGTGCAGCTTCTGATGAAGCAGAAGCGAAAGAAGCCAAGTCTGATTAATCACACACCATGTCTTATCAGTGTTCCCTGTCTCCCTTCTTGTACAATCCAGAGGAATATTTTTATCAACTATTTTGTAAATGCAAGTTTTTTAGTAGCTCTAGAAACATTTTTAAAAAGGAGGGAATCCCACCTCATCGCATTTTTTAAGTGTAAATGATTTTTTTTAGGGTGAAATCATTCTCTGGTTGTTTATTTTTTGGTACAACCAGAAATAGTGAGATACTGAATTATGGCAGGCTTTGACTGTCTTGGGTGTCAGCTTAACATTCCATAGGTGGGGGTTAGTTTTATATCCTGCAATACAAAGTATACAAAATGGCAATTTGGAATTATAGTCCTGCATTTAATATGTCTTGGATACTTTTTTTTTTTAAGTTTTAATTTTATTTATTTATTTATTTAGTGTGTGTGTGTGTGTGTGTGTGTGTGTGTGGCCAACTCAGCCCACCAGGGGGCGGGCCTGGCTGGCATGTGGTGCTGGGGATTGAACCGCGCTCCCTGTGCTTTACTTAGCTTAGCTTGTTCTAAGTAGGTGCTTTAGACCACTGAGCCATCTCACCAGCCCTTGGATACTTTAAATGACTTCTAGTCTCATGATTTTTGGTAGAGTTGTTTCCTAAAGAAAACTACATCCTAATTGTTGCCCTGTCAGAATCGTGTGCACTCTGTAACATCTTTGGTAGTGGCAGTCTGGTTTACCTCATTTTGTTAATGTACCATGAAAGATCAAAAATTTGAATATGTAGTGTATGTGATACAAAATTGTGAATTGGTGGGACTTAAGTAACACTTTGTCAGCATTTGAAGATACTGGCACTTAATCCTCTTACAGAAAATTTGCCTCTAAATTTGAAGCTGGAAAGTCACTGGAACAGCTGAAAAACAATATATGGCTTTTTTTGGTATGTGTGTTAAGAATTGTGTACAAAGTGAATCATGTGTACTGATCCTCAACACAACCAATAAAATCTCAAATATTGAAAAAAATAAAAACCTTTTTTTTCAATAAGCCTTAACAAAGTGTCACAGCACTTTCTTGAAAGATTTCAAACACAAATGACAAATGATTTGCAATGAGTGTCACTTTCTGCTGTCACCAACCACAGAACCAAACATCTATTAAACTACTCATTCTTTCCATACTTCAATATCACACATACAGAAAGGAGTAAAAAATGGGAGAAAGGAAAGAATAGAAAGAAGAAGTTAGAACAGCTTATAGGTTTGAGTTTTCTCAAAACACTCCACCCCCATGAACATAATTACCAAGATAAAACAGGAAGATTTTCAGACCATCTTTGCCTTTGAACACAAAGCTGGAGGAGAAAACAAGAGCTAGAGATCAGAGCTTGTGCTCACCTGCTGTGACTGGTACCTCTGCTGGGACTGGGATGGCAGATACTGTGCCTGGGGTGGTAGATGCGGGGGCTGCGGCTGCTGGTTGTAATATGGCTGTTGCCCTTGCTGGCAATAACCACTAACACCTTGTTGTCCATACTGAGGTGGCATCTGTCAGAGTCAAGAAAAGAAAACAAGACCAAATATGCAATTAAATGAAATCAAGTATGGATTCAATGCATTAACACAAAGTAGTACTTCTGCTAAGCAGTTTAATCCAATATTTTAATCCTCTCTTCACTAAATGCACTGACATAACTGTACTGCTTTATGCTCACACATCAATGAAGTCAAAGGAAAATGTGACTTTGAAACAATCATACTTCAATCAGACATCGAGTACTGTTGTTATAAAAATCTAGTAGAGAAAGTTCCAATGTTTACATTTAAAAATATTTCTCAGAGTATTAAGGAGACATAATCCATTACCATGCAATAGTAAAAATTCAAATGAACTCATAAAGTCCAAGTTATCTCATTAATACTTTGTAGAATGCCTGTGGTTTGGTTGCATTATATATTTCACATCTGTTTCTAAGTTCAGAAAAACTAAAGTTAGACTGTCCCAATTATATTCTATCAGCTATTAGCCAGTTACATTAGGGTTTTAATCTACCATTTTTGCAAGGGATTAGGAGCACATTTACTATCAAATAAACCCTGTGAAGACAAAGGCCCATGTGGTAAAGAAATGTGTAAAGAGGGCCTCGTGGGAGGTCTTCAGGTCCAGCAGGCATCCCATGGATGGAGGCTGTGGGATCTCAGACCCATCTACTCTTTTCTTCCTATGGCCAATAGGGAAGCATTTTTTCTCTTCCATGAAGTGTGTCTCACCTCAGACCCAAACTTATGGGGCCAGCCAGCCATTTTTGGACTAGGCCTTCAAAACTGTAATCTAAAACTTATCTTTTTATAAGGTATTTCTTATCATGATAGAAAGACAACATAAACACTTAGAAAACATTATGTACATACAACAACCAATGATTCTTGAAAGATGTTCATAATATATAACAAAGAACAGTACTTAGTTGAAAAATAGGTAACATTAAACCATAATGCAAGGGCTGGACAAATAACTCAGAGGATTAAAGTGCCTGCAAGCAGATGCAGGGGCTGGGATTCGATCCCTAGGCTTGCTGTGCTGGCCCCACCCCTGGGGTGTCCTGAGACAGCAATTGAGACTGGCTGTGGTGGCACAAGCCTATAATCCCAGCTCTTGGGAAGCTGTAAACAGGAGGATCACTATGAGTCCAATTTAGTAGTGAGACCCTGAACACCCTGTAGGTCCTTCCCTAAAATACAAAAGAAAAAGAAAAAACCATAATGCAATGTAGAAATATAGATTTGAGACAAAAGCCTGATGTCCCAAGTAAGCAGAGAACAATAGACAGAGCCCGAGGAGAGTTGCTGTCTCTTTGCAAATTCCCAGAAAGTTAGGACCCAAGGCTGCAGATAACAGCTTCTCATGCAGGTGCCCAGTTCTTTGATCCCTTCCTTGGGATGTTATTGGCTACCATTTGTGTGAACCTAGTGTTAGGCAAATGGTGGAAGTCAATAGAGATAGTAGTTTGTATTCACTTAGGTAATTATGCACATTCCTTAGTCTGCCTTTACCCCTCAATAAATGTGAGATGCTTCTGAGGCTCTGGGCTCACTTGGAGAGAGACTAATCTCAGTGAGACCTCTGAAGCTACATTCATGAGGCCTTCTGGTCATTTCTTTCGACACCAACCTGTAACATACAACAATGCAATGTAAACACAAGATACAGACATAAGTAGCCTAATCAGTCTTCTCTAATTTACATGAGTCTGAAAATTCTCAAAATTATTGTTCATAGGAAAATCTTCTTTTGTGTAACATATTAGTGACAGCGTTTCTAGAGTTTCAAAAACTGTGAATTTTTAAAATTATTTAAGTAATAAGTCTGCTCAGTTTTCCCCCTAACTGGGAGAAAAGGGAATAAAAATACAAAATATCAAGACATCAAAGAGCATTCTAGAGCTGAGAATGATGAAGTCACTCTGTTAATGCCACAATATGGTCCATTTGAGAACTCCAAGAACTTTATCCCCATAAGCCAACACACTTAGCAAATTAAAGAGTACCAGATACACACTTAAGAGCCAAATTCAGTATAGGAGTAATAAACAAAATAATAATAAAAGAAAGTTTTAACGTATTTTAAGACTAATGCAATAATTCATACAATATAGAATGGAATAAAAGGAAAATAATATGAAAAGCTAATGTTCCCATTTTTTCAATATAATTCTGATTATTTTTAAAACCTATCACTAATGAAAACAAAAGTTGTGGATACAACGGCTTAAAACACCTCTCATCACACAGGCTAGGCTGTTAGAAAAGATGACTTTGCACTGAAAACCATTAAACAGAGCAGCTGAATTTCTTGCTCTTATTTATCTTACAGTTTGATATTTCATAATGAATGTATGTCCCTGCCACAAGCCAAGCCAAAGAATTTCCATAAAATACAACTCCACATGCTAGAATACCATATATTGCCACAAAACACATCCTCCAGTTTAGTGCCCATATGTTTGATTTGCTATCTAATACGATATTTCACACAAGCATCTTTGCAGTTTGATTTGAAGCAGTGAAGATAACACTTCTGCCAGTGTTAAAATGAAGATAAAGCTCAGTCAACATAAGCCAACAACTTTCCTAGAAATACGTTGACTTTCTGGTTTGCAGAAACCCTTACACAAAATGAGGAACCCTCATTTGAGGAGGCAGGGGACTCTGTCTTCAAAGCACAACAACAGGGCGCACTGTAAGAACCTACTGGCACCACAGCAGCCACAATTTACCAGATTCTTTCTTTATCTCTTCCAGCTCCAGAGAGTTTGGGGCAAATTGGGGGCTCAGGAGGGTAGGTGGGAGCTACAGCAGTAACAAGGCAGAACAAGACAAGCAGAAGGCTCACAATCTGACACATCTGCTAGGAGGGTGGGTGAGATAGCTCAGTGGACTATGTGCCTGCTTAGGCAAGCACAGGGACCAGGGTTCTATTCCAGGCACGAGATGCCACACCAGCCCTGCCCCCAGGAGCTCTGAGCCAGCCACCGAGACCAGGTGTGGGGACACACACCTGTAACCGCAGTGCAGGGCAGGCTGAAAACAGGAGGGTCACTATGAGTCCGAGCTACACAATGAGACTCTGTACCAAATACATACAAAATCTTAAAAAATCTGCTAGGAGTACTTAGTGCAATCTTCAACAATTAAAAAAATAAGCTGCTGTCTTCTTAGATACTTGGTCTGATTCATTCATTAGGGACAGACTTCACTGGCACCTCAACACTCTATGAGCCTAAGATGAGAAAATCTAAAACATAATGTAAGTGGGCTCTCCAGTAGATCAAGGTCCCAGTACCAGTCCCCTAAAGAAAGCAGATCATTTCCCTAGGGAACGTGTAAATTAGAAGACCACAACCAGCTGGAGAAATTAAACATAGCCATCCTCATATCCCTATTTTACTACAGGGGCAATATCCAACTTAAGTAAGCCTATATATCTCTTTTTTTATGTATTTGCTGTCCTCAACAGTATGAATATAACCTCACAAATTCAATGTATGCCTGCTAGAAGGTGACCTAACAGTCACGAAACACTAACTGAAACCTGATGCAGTAGCACATGCCTGTAATTTAAGCACATTATGAGGCTGAGATAGGAGAATTACAAGTTTGAGGTCAATGTTTTACTTTGTTCATTAGATTGATTTGTAATGCTTTGAAAAAGGGGATCTAAGAAGGTATCAGAAAATGGAAAATGTAAAGACAACCTTTGTTCTTGGGTAGGAAAAACCAATACAGTGAAAATGGCCATACTTCCAAAATTGCTAAACAGATTTAATGCAATCCTGATCAAAATGCCAACAGCAAACATCACAGAGCAACAGAAAACAATCCTAAAATTCATCTGTAATCAGAAGAGACCTAGAATAGCAAAATTAATTCTGGGAAACAAAGTCAAGGGAGGGGGGGCTGGAGAGATGGCTCAGTGGTCTAAAGCACCTACTTAGAACAAGCTTGGCAAGGCATCAGGGACCGCAGTTCAATCCCCCAGCACCACATGCCAGCCAGCCCCGCCCCCTGGTGGGCTGAGCTGGCCACACACACACACCACTCTCTCTCTCTCTCTCTCTCTCAAATAAATAAAAATAAAAAATAAAAAATAAAAAAACAAAGTCAAGGGAGGGGGCATTACAATCCCTGACTTGAAATTACACTGCAAAGCTACTGAGAGAAAAACTGCACAGTGCTGGGGGAAGAAAAAAAAAAAAAAAAAAAAAACTATAATGTAAGGATCAAATGAACAGTTTAGTAGATGCAAAAAAAAATTCAAAACACTCAACCACCTTATTTGCTCAGTTAGTTAAATCACCCTTTTGGCAAAGGGCCCAAACACTTCACTAGAAGAAAAGACAGCCTGTTTAATAAATGGTGCTGGAAAAATTGAGTGTTGACAAGCCAAAGATTAAATCTAGATCCATACCTTTCACCAAGCATTAAACTAAAAGGGAAATGGAGCAAAGATCTAAATATTAAAACATAAACACTAATCTACTGGGAGATAAAGTAGATAGAACTCTTGAAGACATAGGTGTAGGACAGGAATTTATAAGTAAATTCCAATAGCACAGGTAATACTACAAAGAATCAACAACTGGAATCAAAGCAAACTAAAAAGCTTTGTATAGCCAAAGAAACCACCAACAGAGTGAAGAAACAACTCACAGAATGGGAAAAAAAATTTCCCAGCTGTTCCTAAAATGAAGGACTAATAGCTAGTATGAAGAACTCAAAAAAATCATACTTCCAAATTTAAACACCTAATTCAAAAACAGTCATGTAAAATGAACAGATACTTCCCAGATGAAGAAGTACAAGTAGCAAATAAATATATGAAAAAATGTTCAACATCACTGGTTATTTGAGAGGTGCAAATTGAAAAACACAGATTCTATCTCATGCCAGAAAGAATGGTTATTATCAAGAAATCAACAAACAGGGCCAGCAAGACAGCTCAGCAGACCAAGTGCCTGCTTGGGCAAGCTCAGGGACCATGTTCAATG